TTTGTTTTTTTCTCCTGTTAATCAGCGTTGTCTAAACCTAACACTGTGTGCCTTTTGCTTTTTGTCTACAGGCCTTTGTTGCCATTGGTGACTACAACGGCCACGTGGGCCTGGGGGTGAAGTGCTCCAAGGAGGTGGCCACAGCCATCCGTGGGGCCATCATCCTGGCCAAGCTGTCTATCGTCCCTGTCAGAAGGGGTTACTGGGGTAACAAAATCGGCAAACCCCACACTGTGCCCTGCAAGGTGACTGGCCGCTGCGGCTCTGTCCTGGTGCGTCTCATTCCAGCCCCCCGTGGTACCGGCATCGTGTCTGCCCCAGTGCCCAAGAAGCTGCTCATGATGGCTGGAATCGATGATTGCTACACCTCTGCCAGGGGCTGCACCGCCACCCTCGGCAACTTTGGTAAGCTTCTCCCAGGGTCATGATCTGCATACTGTATTGGGAGAGGGTTGTTTCTCCTCGCTCTGCCCAGCTTCACCTCGGCAGTGGTGTAGTTGTCGTTAAAAGGAGAGAAAGAATTGAGTATTGCACGGCAGGGAGACGTTTTAGTGGTCTTCCCTGTTACCCTTTTACAATGCTCAACATTTTTTTTACCCCCAACAAGACTGTTGTACTTTGTTACTGGAGCGCCATGCTACACACACTTACTCTTTATAATTCCTTCCTCAGCCAAGGCCACGTTTGATGCCATCTCCAAGACTTACAGCTACCTGACCCCTGATCTGTGGAAGGAGACAGTCTTCACAAAGTCTCCCTACCAGGTCTGTACAGAGCCAACATGAGCTGTTATGGTTATGTCTGGATTTTTGTGTAACCAGGCTTTCTGCTTTTTGTTCCAGGAGTTCACTGACCATCTGGCCAAGACTCACACCAGGGTGTCTGTGCAGAGGGGCCAGGCTGTGCAGGCTGCTGCCTCCTAAACATTTTGTATAGGGAATCGTTGAATAAACGTTCTGGAACACCACTTCTGTGTCTCGTGTGCTTAACTCACAAAACTATGTATGCTGCAAAAATGTGCAGACTTCAGTAACTGAACAAGACACAAGTGATATGTTGGGCAATAGGAGAAATTGCATCAGTCAACATGGTTTTGGAGCATTGTCCATCACTTGGATACTTTCACAGTATTGGGGTGATTTGTAGGAAGCAGGTGAAAGGGGGGAGGTATAATCAAGAAAAGGGAATGAAAATTAGAAATGGGATGATACGTGAGTCACTGAGGAGGATGAGATTTGGAAATTTAAATACTTTCAAATCAGACTGAGACAAATGTTGGGTGGATTACCATAGGATATCAGCGTGAGCGAAAGGGAATATAGGTGATATGCCTAACTCACCTCCACATAATGCTATTCTATGGTAGTTGTTTTGTTATGCTTTTAGTTTGAAATTACTCTGATACACATCCGAAAACGTAAGTGTGATAGTACTGAAGGTTTGTGAGACGGTTATTATTGGGTAATCGTGACAAAATGTAGTGATGGGCAGATGAAGCCCCATGAAGCACTGAAGCTTTTCATCCAATTGGTTCACCCCAACGCGAAGCTTCATGAAGCTTCATTTGCTCTAG